TAGACACTATGCAACTTCTAGAAGAAAACGTAAGGTCAACACTTCAAAATACATGCACAGGAAATGATTTTCTCAATAGGACTCTTTTATTTTTAATTGATTTTATTTTTTAAATACATGGCAGCAGAATGCATTACAATTCTTATTATACATACAGAGCACAACTTTTCATATCTTTGTATAAAAGTATATTCATGCCAATTCATGTCTTTATACATGTACTTTGTTTTTTTGCATTACAATTCTTATTACACATATATACAACAATTTTTCATATCTCTGTTTGTATATAAAGTATGTTGACACCCAATTTGAATCTTCATACATGTACTTTGGATAATGATGTCCAACACATTCCACCATCCTTGCTAATCCTCTGCCCCCTCCCTTTCCCTCCCACCCCTCTTCCCTATCTAGAATTCATCTATTCCTCCCATGCTCCCCCTCCCTACCACACTATGAGTCAGCCTCCTTATATCAGAGAAAACATTTGACATTTGTTTTTTGGGGGATTGGCTAACTTCAATTAGCATTATCTTCTCCAATGCCATCCGTTTACCTGCAAATGCCATGACTCTTAAAGCTCAGGAAATAATGCCAAGAGTTAATAAATAGGATGGGATAGAATTAAAAGCATCTACACAGCAAAAGAAACAAGAATGTGAAGAGAGAAGCTAGAGAAAAGAAGAAAAATCTTTGCTAGCTGCTCTTCTGATAGAGTATTAATGTCCATGATATTTAAAGCACTCAAAATCAACACCAGAAAAACAAATAACCTAATTAATAAATGGAGTAACGAACTGAATAGATCTCAAAAGAAGAAATAAAAATGTTAAACAAATATATGGGAAAAAATGTCCGGCATCATTAGCAATTAGAGAAATGAAAATAAAAAAGTTATACTGAGATGTCATCTGCAGTTAGAATGTCAATCATCAAAATTACAAACCATTGTAACTGTTTAGGAGAATGTGGAGAAAAGGAGCACTTTTACACTACTTGTAGGATTGTCAACTAGTACAACCACTGTGGAAAACAGTGTGGAGGTTCCTCAAAAATCTAAGCATGGAATTGCCATCTAAGCCAGCTCTACCATACCCTTAATATTTATCCTAAAGGATTAAAGTCATCATATTATAGTGATACCTGCATACCCATGTTTATGGCAGCACAATTCACAATAGCCAGACTGAGAAACAAGCCTAGGTGTCCATCCACAGATGAATGGATAAAGAAAATGTGACATATATACACAATGGAGTTTTATTCAGCCATAAAGAAAAAATAAACTATGT